ACTAATAAATGCTATAAAAAAACATGTCATTATAGCAACTATACCCAAGTTCATAGAAGGATTATAGGTCATTCTCCCGTAGTCTCCCACAGAGCTTAAACCTTTCTCCCTCCTTACCCACTTCTTACCCTTAAAGCCATACCTGCATATCCACCCCTTTATTACCGTATATAGTCTTACCTGTAAGTGTACCTAGGTCAATATACCAAAGATTTGTGTATCGTTTGTAAAGGTGTTGTCAGTCACACTAGAACTTTTCCAATTTTTTGACAATTTTCTGATTTTTTCACCATTTTTTTTAGCGAATTGTCGATTTTCCAGTCAGACGATAATGATCGTTTCCGTCTGAAAACCTTTCCGTCAACTTTTTTCAGCCAAGCATAGCCAAACCAAGAGCTATATTCGAGAATGTTTGTATTTATGTTATATAAGATTGTGTTTGTATTTGTTATATAAAATTTTCAAAAAATTTCACGGAAAAGTGTTAGTGTGACAGCGCCTTGAGACCGCGCGAGGAGTGACCAAGACCAAGACGACCATCGCTACCTCATATTTTTGAGATGCGAATGTTTGTCTCGGAAAACTTGTCAAAATTTTACTGCCGGTTTTGTTAGAATTGTGCGAGGTCCGACCCCAAGAATATTCGTATACTTGACATGCATGAATAAAGAAATAAATGCGTATTTATATTTATTTATTTATATTTATTTATATTAATCATATTTATTAGTCTAGACATGCATATCAACCCGGCAAATAGATGGTTAGATGTATATCTATCGGATATATAGACAGATAGGCCTTTATTTCTGCGTCTGTTTGTTGGAATTTATGGTAAATGGAGATAGGAAGGTGAAGGAAAGAATAGGAAAATGTGAGAAGATATGAGTAAGGATGATCTGTTTTCTCGTTATGGGGGTTATTAATGGGTTGTTGTTTTTCATTTGTTATTTATCTGTTGTTATTAATGGTTTTTTATATTTATTGTATATGGTTATTGGATGGTTCTTTTTATATCTATTGTATATCTTTGGTTATTAATGGTTATTTTTTATATCTATTGTATATCTTTGGTTATTAATGGTTCTTTTTTATATTTATTGTGTATCTTTCGTTATTCATTAACGTGTCTTTTCCCGCCCTGTTCTTCGTTGTTTTAGCGTGATTAATCCACATCAGGGATTACTCCTTCCGCTCACACTTTCGTTAAAATTGTCCATAATGTATTACGAAAAAAAACGTTAAGTGAATGCAAAGAAAAATATTTGTTCATTGACATTTGTTTATTATTATTATTATCATCATTATTATTATCTTATCATTATTTCATTATTATCATTATTATTATCATTATTATTATCATTATTATTATTATATATTATTATTATCATATATCATTATTATTATCATTATTATTATGTTATCATTTTTATTATCTTAGATAATAGTAAATAAAGGTTGGAGGTTTTGATAATCCTAAAAGATTGAACTATTATGTCAACAATAATAATGTAAAAAATGGCCAAAAGTAGAAAATTTTGATTCTCATTTTCCTCATATTCCCTTTACTTTATGCTTATCATACATTTTACTCATAGTGTAATCTTAAAAAATAACGAGTGAAAAAAGATGTTTCAGTGTAAGAAGATTGTCAAATTTATGGTCAAAATTTATGATAATATTGTACCATAATATATATCTTATCTGTCATCCTCCATATTATCATACATAGAGAGATGACGCTGTTTTACACTAAAATTACAAAATTATTGTTAAAGAAAAAAATAATAATCATCTGTAATGCTAAATGTATGCGAATTTGTAAACTAGAAAGGTATAGAAAACGGAATCTTAATCATGGTTGCCAAATGCTTTCCGCCAGGCTATATTAAGGGGGTTGGGGGGGGGGGGAGTGAAGGGTTATGGGTGGGGGAGGGAGGGGGAGAAGGGGGGGGATGGGGGTGAAGGCTAAATTGATGGGCTGAGGGGGTGGGGGTGGAGTATTAAAAGAGGGGGAGTGGGGTAAAGGGGGTGGAGAGTGAAGTGCTGGGAAGGGGATGGGGGTGAAAGCTAAATTGATGGACTGAGAGGGGGGGGGTAGGGTGGAAGGTTAGTGGGGGGCGGAGTGTTAAATAATGGGGGTTGAAGAGTGAAGTCATGGGGAGGGTGGAATGGAGGATGAAGCGGTGGGGTGAGGTGGAGGGCTAAGGCGGGGGTGGAGGGTGGAGGTGGAAGATAGACCGGGTTGGCTGGGTGAGGGAGGGGGGGGAGAGGGGAGGATGAGGAAATGGAAGATGGGAAATAGGAATGGGGGTAGAAATGGGGGGGGAGGGAGGGATGAGGAAAGAAGTTGGAAATGGAGAAACGGGTGGGGGGGGGGTAGAAATATGAGGACGGATATAGGGGGGGGAGGGTGAAGGATGGTGTACTGGGCACGTGGGGGGGGGGTCAAGGTATGGCCGCCCTATCCTATAATCCTTAATTTTTTTCCCATTGCTCGGATAATTAATGGTGGTGATGGTGAAACCGACATCATATATGACGAATATAGTATTACCGAAGTCGCTTGGATGATGTGAGAGCGATGAAGATGGTGATGATGATATGATGATAATGGTGAAGATGGTGGTGGTGGTGATGATGATGTGATGATAATGGTGGGGTAATGATGTGGAGTATGTGATGTGGAGTGGTGATGTGATGGTGATGGTAGTGGTGATGACGATGATGTGAATGTGATGTGACGTAGTGATGACGATGATGGTAGTGGATGGACGATGATGTTATTGGATGGTGGTGATGCTAATACGATGGTGTGGTGGTTGATGATGTGATGATAATGATGTTAGTGATGATGATGGTGGTGCTGGTGGTGGTAGTAATGATGATAATAGTGGTGGCGATGCTGATGTGATGACGATGATTATGGTGTGGTGGTAACGCTGATGTGATGATGGTGGTGATAGTGATGATAGCGGTGATGATGGTGGTGATAATGAGGATGTGTGTAATGATGATGATGATGATGATGATGATGATGGATGATGATGATGATGATGATGTCTATGGTGATTATGACAATGTCTTACGAAATAAATTTTAGTCCATTTTGCCAGCAATACAGAAAACGAATGAATCGCATACTTCTGCTATATTCTCAGCATATTCGCACCGAGACAGAATCGACCTAATTCGAAGTTTATATCAAAGGAATTAATAAATGAATAAATATAATAATAGATAATATAAAAGTATACTAATAGCCAATGATAACGAAAATAACAACTAAAAAGTATAAGAAAATAATGTTAAAATAGAATAACACAAAAAAATAAAAAATGATTTTAAAAAATAACAAAACATAAAAAACACAAAAAATGATAACAAAAATAATAGATAAAAATAACAACACATTTTTTTTAATTCCAAAAAATATTATAACACCAAAAAAATATATAACAAAAATCACAAAAAAATAACAACACAAAAAATGATAACAAATCTCATATCACTTTCCCAGCCTTTGTCCCAGGGTCAGCGAAGGACAGAGACACCCAAAGGAACTAGAACAAGTAACGGTTATGCCCATATATAAAAGGGGCATTGGCGATGGGCCTACGTGATTCGTGCGGTCAGTCACCCCCGGTAGGGCCTAATGAGGGGAGGGGAGGGGGGGTAATACCTGTGTACATGGTATGAATGTGAGTGATTTTTTTTTTTTTTTTTTTTTGGGGGGGCATTTTTTTTTTTACTTTTTTTTTTGGGGGGGGCTTTTTTACTTTTTTGGGGGGGTTACTTTTTTGGGGTCTTTTTTTTACTTGGGGGGGCTTTTTTTTACTTGGGGGACTTTTTTACTTTTTGAGGGGGCTTTTTACTTTTTTGGGGGAGCTTTTTTTTTACTTTTGGGGGGAGCTTTTTTGGTGAGGGGGGGCTTTTTTTACTTTTTTGGGGGTATTTTTTACTTTTGGGGGTCTTTTTTTACTTGGGGGCTTTTTTTCTTTTTGGGGGGGCTTATTTTTACTTGGGGGGGGCTTTTTTTGCTTTTGGGGGGTCTTTTTTTACTTTTGGGGGGGAGCTTTTTTTACTTTTGGGGGGTCTTTTTTACTTGGAGGGCTTTTTTTTTCTTTTTGGGGGGCTTATTTTACTTTTGGGGATTTTTTAATTTTGGTGGTCTTTTTTTACTTGGGGGGGGCTTTTTTTTCTTTTTGGGGGGCTTTTTTTACTTTTCTGGGGATTTTTTTAAATTTTGGGGTGTCTTTTTTTCCTTGGGGGCTTTTTTTACTTTTTATGTTTTTTTCTTACTTTTTTTTTCTTACTTTTTTGGGGGGGCTGGGTATGGTAGGCGTGTTTTGTTTTGGTTCGTTTTGGTTTGATTTGATTTTTTTTTTTTGGGGGGGGAGGGTGTTGTATTTTGGGGTCTTTTAAGTAGAGGAAGGTATGTGTGTTTGGATTTTCATTCTTAACTTCCATCTTACAAAATCAATTTAATTCCTACCCTCTGTTCTACAAAATAATTTTCATTCTCACCCTCCATCTTACGAAAATAATATAATTCTCATTCCTCCATCTTACAAAATTAATTGAATTCTTACCCATCCATCATCCTACAAAATTATTATCATTCTCACCCTCCATCTCCCAAAATCATTTTCATTCTTACCCTCCATCTTACAAAATTGATTTAATTCTTACCCTCCATCTTACAAAAATTAATCTATTACCCCCTCCCCAATCATATAAAATCAACTTCATTCTTACCCTCCATCTTACAAAAATCATCATTCTTCTTACCCTCCATCTTACAAAATTGATTCAATTCTTCCCTCCATCTTACAAAATCAACTTCATTCACCCCCTCATTCACCTCGGACTCCCACGTTAACCTCAACGCCCTCACGACACAACGCCCCAATACTCACGACGGCGCGTAGAACCCAGTAGCCACTTCCTCCTTCGGTATAAACAGCCCGATGACGCCGATAAGGCCAAGGACGATAAACACGATAATACCGCCATACACTAATAACTCCGTGCCGATGATGACGTCATTTGTTGTCGTCGTGGTGAGACGTTCGTTCTTCTCGGCCGCGTCTTCGGCTTGGCAAAGGACGGCTGTTGACACCACCAGAATGGCGAGGAACGTTCCTGTTGGAAGAAAAAAAACATGTAGTCTTTTGTTAAGTCGTGATGGCGTGTGGTTAAGTATATACGATTCTGTCTCTTATTTATTGCGTTGATAAGAATGTGGATAAGATTATGGAATATCCGAATGAATCAAGATTCTGCCGCTTTTAGGTTAAAATGGATAAGCTGTCACTATTTTTTTTATACTCGCAATCCCTTTCTCAACCCTTCGACACATCCGCAATATTTTAGGCTAAGATAACAAAAAAAAAATCTAGCTTTCTCTATCTACTTGTAATGCCTATATATTGTAATGTTAATATGGCGTCTCTCTTATCTGATTTTTTTAAGGATAAGGAAAAGATATTCTGTAATTAGGACTAGTTTTTTTCTCTTTATATAACTGTAGTGTGTTCAGTAGTAGAACTTTAATATGAGATTACTGATGAACGTCTAGAAAATTGACATATAATTTTTTTCTGGCAAGACTTCTCTACCCTCCCCCCCCCTCCTCGGCCTTTAACAACCACCGATAAAATCAAAAATTGTAAATCAATATTTTTTTTGCTTATATAATACTGATAGGAATATGCCTCATAATGTTAAAGCATTTTGGCACTTATGGCAGGATGTCTTATAATTATATATATTTCGACAAGCAATTTCAGTTTTAGTCCATAAACACACAGCCATATAAAATTAAATCACATTGCAAAAACGAGAGAAAAGTTAAAATAAAAAATATATGCAACATGCAACATATTCCATACTCAACCAAATAAGAATAAATCACACTAAAAAAGAATATAGGAGAAAAAAACAGAAACATTGATAACCAAGATAAAAAAACTAATTAAAAACAGGAATATAAAAACCAAATCTAAATAACGAAAAATAACCATTAATAACAATAAATAAATCAAAAAGAACCAATAATAACAACAGATAAATAACAAATGAAAAAAGAGAACCATTAATAACTAAAGATAGACAATAAATATAAAGAAAGAATCATTAATAACCAAAGATAGACAATAAATAACAGAACCATTAATAACCAAAGATAGACAATGGAATAAAAAGAACCATTAATAACCAAGATAGACAATAGATATAAAAAAATAACCATTAATAACAACATATAAATAACAAATGAAAAAAACGACCATTAATAACCAAAGATAGACTATAATATAAAAAATAACCATTAATAATAACTATAGACAATAAACAAAGAAAAAAGAACCATTAATAACCAAAGACAGACAATAAACAAATATAAAAAAGAACCATTAATAACCAAAGATAGACAATAAATAAATCAAAAAGAACCAATAATAACAACAGATAAATAACAAACGAAAAAAAAACCGACCCACTTATAACCCCCCATAACGAGAAAACAGGTCACCCTTACTCTGAAAGGTCATGCTGGCTGGCTGGCTGGACGGTCCTTCCGACAGGCTTCTTCTCACTCGGTCTCTTCGTTAAGACTGAGGCCAAGGCGCCACTCCCCGGTCCTTATGTAGGTTCTGTAGGCCTATCAACATGCACAGACATAACTCGAGCCTTCTTTTCCGGGTCGGGTATGTTGCTTGTCCCGTTATTATTTTGCAAAAGTTTAGAAAGTTTTTTTTGGGGGTGGGGTGTATTGGGTGGGAGTGGGGTGTGGGTGTGGATGTGCTTATCCTGTTATTATTTTGCAAAAGTTTGAGATTGTGTGTGTGTGTGTGTGTGCGTGTGTGTGTGTGTGTGTGCTTATCCTGTTATAATTTTGCAAAAGTTTAGAAAGTTTTGTGTGTGTGTTTGTGTGTGTGCTTATTCTGTTATTATTTTGCAAAAGTTTGAGATTGTGTGTTTGTGTGTGTGTGTGTGTGTGTGTGTGTGTGTGTGTGTATCGAGTGTCCTAGTGCAGATGGTGGAGAGGTGTTTCTGGGTGGGTAAAGCTCTTTATGTGCATACGCATGCGCGCACTTACACATATACACAATTAAGCGTGTTTGTGTATGTTTGTGTGTGTATGTATGTGTGTGCTTGAGTGTGTGTGTGTTTGTGTCTATGTGCATATACCGATGTGTGTGCAAACAGATAGATAGATAGACGTGTGTGTGTACATATACTAATGTGTGTGCAAACAGATAGATAGACAGATAAATTGATAAGATAGACTGATAGACATATTTAATGTACAGTTCATATGCAAATCATCTCGTATACATTACACATACACATTTTATCATTTAATTCATTCGGAATACACCATTTTTCAGTGCTTGTTCAATACAGGTTTTACACACATTTGAACCTCAGTGAACCTTTACGCAAGATTACGGGTTCATGTGAGAAATACAAAAGCAAGGAAACAGACAGTGTGTA